GGAGATTTCTAGACCAATGGGAGAGGGTACATGCTAAATAATGAAGAATTCAATTTATAATGTTTAAGTGCCCAGAGCTTGTTAACATAAAATGATATAGACTGCAAATAAAAAAGTAATGTTCCTTCCTCTTAAGTAGCTTACAATCTAGTATCTTCTTCAAAACAACAATAATAGGTGATTTAACCCTATTTGGTGAAAAAGAATCAAAGCTGTGAAGCAAGAAATACAAATACCAGTAAGTTCTCCACATAGGAAGGCGAACTGCGCATATTTATGACTAATAGCAGCACAGTTTCCTCATTTTTGTTTGGATTCTAACTCCCACAGTCATGGAAATCATGGCTGTTACATATACAAAAATACTGTATCAGATCTAATGCTTGCTGAGACAGGGAGCTCACTGTAAATGAGACCAGAATGGGAAACTTTGTGACAGGGTCTACTAGATTCTTAGATTTGGCATGGGAATTTTAGGGTCCATGGGCTGAAGTACTCTGTAGAATTATATAATAATTTTACCCAAAAAAAAAAGAGAGAATTAAGGAATTTACAGAGAATTGTGTTTAAAACACTTTTTTAAATGTTCTATCACTGGTCAGACTTTTTAACTGTAAATAGTAACCCCTGAGAAAGAAAACTATAAATGCCAAATATTCCTCCATATAAAACTGATGAAAATGAATACTTTCATTAAGTGTTTCTCAAAAGGAGAACAATGTAAACGCTAACCTATGCTACATCAGCTTCAAACATTTGGGAGCCAAAAAGGAAGTAAAAAACTGTTTAGGTTAATTTGGTCATTTAAAAATAATTGAAAGGAAAAGAAGCTGAACTGTCTTTCAGGACCAAACTGCTGGTTCAAAAACTTAGGCTTTAAAACCATTTCTTCTGTCAGCCCATCCAGTGTTCTTGTATCAATACAGCAATTATTATTGCTGTGCTGCAGACAAGGTACCTCAGTTAGTGTGACTTAGGCACCAAACTCCATGACTGTGTGAAAGACCTACCATCTCCCCTTCTATACAGTCAAAACTCATTTCCCCTACTCCCCTTTCCACTCCACCTCCCACAGAAAATAATTTAAAGTTTTCTTAGTACTATTTTATTTAAATAAGCAAATAATTAGAGATAAGTCTACTTTTTAACAACTTAATTTTATCAGTTATATAGTTAGAAAGTCAAACTAAGTAAGACCTTCACATGTCTATTACATACTGTGTCTTCTAGTGTGTGCCTTGTTTGTATTCCCATGTAATTAAGGTACTTATATATCTTTCTTATGGAATTGTAAATTCTGCCCCACCTGTTCCTTATTCTCTCTCTCCTTCCACCGTAAATTCCCCATATTCCCAACATCCACATTCAATTTGCAAGGGCATGAAAAGGGTGAAGACTTTGGGGAAAGTGTTTTCCTTCTTAGTTCTACAACAGATAAGTGAACTTCCTGATTTATACCAAAATCTCTAGAGATGTAAATAGAATAGTGAGGAACTGATATAAGATATGACATTCTCTCCCACTCAGTAAGTACTTCATAACTCACTGGAGACTTGAAAAATCCATTTAAGACATTAATACAAAGACTTGAGAAGAATGTCAATAGATTACTTTGCCCACAGATTAAAGAAATACCACATGAGTATAGAATGGATTAATTCCAGAGTTGCTGAGTTTAGATAAATAAATAGAACAAAAGATTAAAGTCATACATATACATATTTTATATCTGCACGATGCACCTTTATATTTTGAACAGAAACATTTTATGAATAGCACTTAGTTGTCTTTTTATAAGGTTTTTAAAAATCCAGTCTTTATAACATTTGATTTTCATTTAGTCTCATCTTCTCCTAATATAAGATGACTCCAAGAAAATATCTGTGACAAATATCCTAGGTTCTGAGTGGTCCTCCAGGTTGACTGGACTAAAGACATTTAGAATTATCTTCAGAACTAAGTGGACTGTCACCACCAAACTGTCACCTCCATGAAAGGAGAAAAGCAATAATTAATCATCTTTCACTCCACAAAGTATATTTAAATTGCAGAATGCAGCTGCTCCCATCAATTTTATGTCAGTAGCTTTTGTCATATTACAGTTTATCTGTAACAAACAAATACCCTGGTAGTCTGGAAGAATTAGTATGGCTTCCAAGACTTATGCCTTACAGAATTTATGGCACAGCTATGGAGAAGTAATGATCTATTTTTCAATATGATCTCTCTGTCTCTTCTTCCATAAGCAATATGTTTGTTTGATTTTAAAGTAATGTTTCTCTTTCTCCTTGAAATTTATACTTAACCAATAAGTATCACAAAATGCCACTTCTTTTTGTGTGTATAAAAAAGTTAGAGGGTTCACATAAGTCAATCACTAAAATGTGTCTTATAGTATAGATGGTTTCGATGATAACCTGAATCAAGCTGTATTTAACATGAACTTAATATCCCACTCAAATTTATTTTTTAAAATTAACATTTAATGAAAGAAATAAATTATGGTTTGTGAACATATTAAAAAGAACTAAAGGTTTAGCCAACTTTCAGGTGAAAAACAAATGTGAGAAGGACCCTTTGATAATACTTTAAATATTTTAAGAACACTAATAACTCAGGTGTTTTTTAGCATGTATGGTTGATTTATTAATAGCTTTCTGGGTAGACCCTTCAAAACACTATTTAGTACATACCCCACAGTATTATATCTTTCATAAAAACTAAGAAAAATCCCATTTCATTTGGCTGTAGGTTGAGAAACACCTGTTCTTCCTTGGGTTAATTCTTCATTCTGTGAAAGTGGACTTGATGTTTTGAAACATATTTCTCAATTAAATTGCATTTTATTTATCTGTGTGTATAAACAGAGCCAAAGGGATGCCTCTCCTTCCCCATTCCCTATTGTTAGCTGCCTCCTGCAAGAGAAAACTGCTAACAATTTAGGGGTTATGTATTTGTAAGCTGTTGATGTTCTGTATTATTCATTAACCTGATTATCATGCTATCTATGTCACTGCTAAAATGTACAACACGGCAGGGCTAGAAAAAAGAGTGAGGTATTTTACTGTGACACCAATTTGTTGATTAATGCCTTCTTAGTAATACCACAGCCTTGAGCAAAGGCCTTGGAATCAAAGTGGGTTTAAATTCTGGACCCATTGTTTACTGCATAGGTTATCTTGAAGACTTCCTCATTTGTGAAATATGGATAATGATAGTACCTTCCTCATAGCACATGTCAGAGGATTATCTAAGACAAGGTATATAAGATATTAGCATATTGTCTGTCACTACAGTAGTCATTATTTACTAACGGTCATTTAATTTACATTATCATTTAAAAATTGGTTCCATAATTTTACATATTCATATCACATATATTTTAACTGTACTATATGTCTCAATTTTATTCATAAATACATTTAATATATAGTCTAATACCTTGTTAAAATGCAAACATATTACTGTGAATAAAGCAATACACACATATACACCCAAGAATGTACAAATGTGATTATTAATTTTTCCTACTGAATCCATATATCTATTGTTTTAACAACTTTATGAGTTACATAATTAGGAAGTCAAACTAAACAAGAGCTTCACACTGTGTTCTAGTGTTTCTTGTTTGGGATAGTACATGATCCAATAGCTAAAAGAAATTTACAGTCATGTATAGTTTAACAGGGAGATATTTTCTGAGAAATTAGCCATTAGGCAATTTCATCATAGTGCAAAGGCCACAGGATACACTTACAAATACCTAGGCGGTAGAGCCTACTACATAGCCTATTGCTCCTAGGTTACAATCTGTATAGTATGTTACTGTGTGTAAAACTTTAGGTAACTGTACCATAATGTTAAGTATTTATGTACCTAAACATATCTAAACATTGAAAAGATACAGTAAAAATATGGTATAAAAGATTAAAAATGGTATACCTGTAAAGGGTACTTGTCATTAATGAAGTCTGCAGTGCTAGAAGTTGCTCTGGATGAGTCAGTGAGTGTGTGGTGGGTGAATGTGAAGACCTAGAACATTACTATACTCTACCGTTGACTTGATAAACAGTGTACACGTAGGCTACAACATTTTAAAAATCTTTTCTTTCTTCAATAATAAATTAACCTAGGATTACTATAACTTTTTTACTTTATAAACTTTTAAATTTTCTTAACTTTTTGACACTTTCATAATAACATTTAGCTGAAAACACAAATACATTGTACAGTTGTACAAAAGTATTTTTTCTTTCTTCCTTATTCTATAACTTTTTATTTTATTCTATTTTATTACTTTTTAATTTTTTATGTTAAAAACTAAGACAAAAACACACACATTAACCTAAGCCCACACAAGATCAGGATCACCAAGATGTCACTAGGCGATAGAAATATTTTAGCTGTGTTATAATCTTATAAGACCACTGTCATATATGTAGTTGTCATTGACCAAATGTCATTATGCAGCACATGATCATATTTGTTTTTTGTTTGTTTGTTTTTTGAGACGGAGTATCGCTCTGTCTCCAGGCTGAAGCACAGTGGTGCGATCTCGGCTCCCTGCAACCTCTGCCTCTCGGGTTCAAGCAATTCTCCTGCCTCAACCTCCAGAATTGCTGGGACTGCAGGCACGCACCACCGCGCCCAGCTAATTTTTGGTATTTTTAGTAGAGACAGGATTTCACCATGTTAGCCAGGATGGTCTCAATCTGTTGACCTCGTGATCCGCCTGCCTCGGCCTCCCAAAGTGATGGGACTAGGGACGTAAGCCACCACGCCTGGCCGATCACATCTGTTTTGCCATATAGCTAGCACATTTATCTTTCCTGTGGAATTGTACGATCTTCCCTCATTCTGCTAGTCCCTCATGATTTCCCAGTGTATTTACTAAGTTTCACAAACAACTGTGAGAATGTTGGTTCAGTGTTGATTTTATATAAAATTAAAATTCATTTTCACATGAAACTAACGTAAGTATTTAAAACTGAGTTACATACCTGAATTCAAAAAAGGTAAGTTATCTTTTCCGCTCACACTTTCTGGGGCTGTACATTCACATACCAGGGCACACTAGGAAAAAATGTAAAAAAAAATTGGAAAATAATCAAAATAAGAAATGATATTCTTTTATTTTCTTTGCAAAACATAAGGCTATGTACACAGTTCCAAAAAGTCTTGAATAAAATACTTTTAAAAAACTATTTCTAGTTTTATCTTTACTACGAAGAGTATTTAACTTGTGATTTACTTAAATGTATATGTAATATGCTTATATTAAATAATGATAGAGGCTACTCAGGGAAAAAATTAAGAAGAGAAAAATGATTACTCCCAACATGCTAGAGATATGTTCCTAGCACAGTAAATCATATTTGACAAGCTGAATCATTTTGTATTTCTTTCACCTGAGCTAATTTCAGATCAACAGAAAGCAAATTATTGTCTAGAGTTTAAGTAATTGCAACTTTAAATAAAAGACAAAATATGTTGAAACCACTAGTTATACAGGGCAAAAGATTATTTTGTCTCCAGCAAAACAATGCAAACACTTGCTCAAAAAGTATGAGGATCATTTATAAATAAGCTGATCTGTGGAATCCATAATGAACTGATTAAGCTCCTGACCTTTACAGTAATGTCAATTTCTCAACAGAAAGAAAGAAGAGATACAGAAGAGCACGTGGACATGTTCCTAGTGAATGAACCGTGATGGGAGAGAATGTCCCAGACAATTCCTCATTAAATGTGGTACTCTCCCTCAGCTTCCTATGAAACTGCAATGGAAAGAGGAAACAAAATTCTTCTGGCCCCAGGAGTTGGACAAGATCTGTTTTCACATAGGCAGGCTCTAGCATTTGTGTCTTCAAATGAGTTTCCTTTTATCTTTAGAAAAAACATGCAGGTGGGGACAGGGAAAGAGGAGAGTGAATTTTCACAGCAAATATACCCCATATAAACAAGTAAATGCAAACATAACAAAGCAAACATACACACGAAAATTGCAGAAAGTTCTTTTGGTGACAAAGTCTGAGGAAACCAACCATCCTTCTGTAAGTTTTGCATGGCTCTGCTCAAGGGGCTCTGAGGGCTCAGACAAGCTTCTCCAAGGTTCTATCAGCCTTGCTTGAGCTATTTCCCCACTGTTCTGTCTCCCTCCACCTCTCCTTCCCCAGGCACTGGCCCTCATTGAGAATCATAGACACTAAGGTCACTTTTAACAATGGAATGTTTACATTCCTCAAACATTTTGAGGAAGAAGACAAAGAATTCAAAACACTGATTTAAATGTTACTTTCTGTTTTCTTAGAGTCTACTTCTTATTCCACAATCAACATTCATCACATTACTCAGTAAATTTTTTGTTGGGGTACAAAAAATGGTTTCATAATTTTTTTTATTGAGGTCCTAGTCGACTGAAAGAACGAATGACTGAAAATAGCTCTTAAAATTTGATGTTCTCTAAATCACATTTCTGACCACCCAGAAGTCAGAGGTGCACTTCCTCTAATCCACAGCAAGTTTGGAAATGCACTTCCTAAATCACTAGAATGATGTTCAATGATACTAGAAATACATAAAATTTTAATTTCTCCTATTTTCAATATTTCCTTTAATTCTTTTAGCATATACAGGGCTGTTAAAATAATTTTTCACCAACATTATATTCATCATATCAGTGTTCTACGCTATAATAAATAATAGATACTTATTTAGCTCAGAGTCTTATGGCTTACAGCGGAGTACATGATCTGTTTCTCCCCACCCCATGAATCTCAGCATACAATTCCAATCACTTCTCCTCGACCCCTGAGCTCCAGTCACACTGGCCTATTTGCTGCTCTTTCAACACAACAAGCATGCTGCCACCTCGGGGCCTTTGCTCTTGCTATTCATGCTACCTAGAATTTGTATTCCTGCCATATATCCCCATCTCACTCCCTTATTTCCTGAAAGTTTCAGCTCAAACATCACATTATCAGTGAATCGTTCCGTAACCAACATCTAGTATAAACAACCATGCCTAAGCACCACCTGTTCCTTTCACCCTTTTTTTCTGTACAGCATATAGCACCAGTCAGTAATTTATTACCTGTTATTTTAATTGTTTACTTCCCCTGAAGGTACCATCTGTATCTCTCTGGTTCATTGCTGAATCTCCAGAAATTAGTAGAATGCTTAGAACTTAGTAGGTGATATTTTTGATAAATGAATGATGATTATTTGCCTACAAATATTCTCTATAAGGTAAGGCTGGTTATAATACTTTCAATTTTACATTTGGAGGAAATAAGGGGATAAGACCTTCTGAGACTGGTCCTTAGCCACTCAAAGACTCCACCTTTCCTCTGAGCACTGCTGATAAACTACAATGAAAACAGTACTTCAAATAACAGGAGCAAGATGGCCTGAGAAAAGCAGAAGGTTTTCATAAGGGGATGTATTAATACTCCACTTATACTATTTTTGCTGGTATCATAAATAAGTAAGACATTTTCTTTCCTTTTGTAGAAATCACAATCCCTTTGGTCACTAGTGCTATGCTACATTCCAATACAACACAGATCTTAAACTAACAGGAGAGACAAGGCAGGGGCTGAACTAAACTAAGCTGCTCCCGTGCCTCACTGGAGGATGCTCCTAATAACGCTTCAATCCTGACAGGAAGCTGATCATCTCTGCTGCAGGCAAAGAAGGGCCGTGCTCAATGGGAAGACTTTTCCTGTCTCAATCAATCCTTTTGGCTGTTACTTATTGGGTTTTCTCATTTTTCACCTGATTTTATTATTTGGTTCCTACTTATCCTTTCTCTAATAGTATTGTCTTTGACTACTTCAAAAGTTGTTCTGTAAGTTTCTTTCTTTTTCTTCCACAATCCTACACTCTTTACTACATGCCGTCTTATTTATTGATCCACCAATTGGCATGGAGTTATATGCAGTCACATATTGTCTCTGCTATAGGATAATTTTTAGCTTTACTTCCTTACTTCTTTAAAGTAAAGTTGACTTCATTTATTCATTTATTTCTGAGTTAGACTGTTTCAGGCACTGGGGATGAAGGAGGGAATGAAAATAGACAGTTTTGTCTCATGAAGGTTAATACTAGTGAGGAAAATAGACCACAAATGAGATAAATTAGTCATATATATATGACATTGAACAATGACAAGTACTAATGACAAAAATAAAAAATAATGCAGAGAAAGGAGATAGAAAGCTTTGGGGTAGACACTGCAATCTTAGATAGGGTTGCAGGAAAGGCTTCAGTGAGGAGCTGACACTTCTGCATAAAGACCAGAAGGAAATAAGTGAACCACAAAATTACCTGGGGAAAACACTTCAAAGGTAGGTGGAAAAACAAAGTGCAGGGACTTTGAGTTGGCAATGTACCCGAAATGTTCAGGAACAACAAGGTCTTCCTCAATGTGACTGAACCGTAGTGAGCAAAAAAGAGAAGTTGGGGAGGAGGTCAAAGAAGTAATAAAGTTGCCAGGGGTGGGACAGGGAGACTCTTGTAAGACTGTGTTTGGTCACTGAAGAGCTTTGAGTTTATACTTTCAGAGAGTCGAGAAGCTGTGGGAGAAAGACATGTCCTAAGTTACATTTAAATAGGATCACTTGGTTGCTCTGTTGAAGACAGACTGATGTAGTGACATGTGGTGGCAGATAGGGAGAGAAAAGGAAAAAATCAGGGAGACTTTTAAGTCATTACTGTAAACATCCAGGTGACAGACAACATTGGCAGCAGTGAAAGGGCCAAAAGTTGCTAAATTCTGATTTCATTTAAAAGGTGCAGTCAACAGGATTTGCTGACATATTAACTGTGAGTTTATGAGTGGCAGAAAGGAGTCAAAGATTACTCCAATAAAAGAAAAAATATTTTGGATACATAATGCAACATTCATCTACTATATTAGTTGTGAAAAAAGACAATTTTAGTTTTTCTTTTGTAATTTTTTCTTTCTACTACTATGTGGTTTTAATGCTTTATCTTCTATTTCTATACGTGCATATACTAAAGTTTGAAACAATCTAATATGGTAAATGACCCTCTGAGCAATCTTCCCTTGATAATAAATATGTATTCATAATACGATTAATGGAAACAAGTAAGAAAAAGAAAGCAAACGTATGTGAGAAGAAAGAGTTTGGATTTTCACTTATATTTTATTCCATGCTCTGGAATTTAACACTCAAGATTAAAATGTAGTATTTTATATAAAGGTACTATTATGGACTGAACTGTGTCTTCCAAAGTTCATATGTTGAAGCCCCAGCCTCCAATGTGACCATATTTGGAGATAAAGGCCTATATTATGGAGGTAACTAAGATTAAAAGAGGTCATAAAGATGGGGCCTTAATACTACAGGACTGGTATTCTTAGAAAAAAAGGAGAAGATACCAAAACGCTATCTCTCCCTCTCTCCCTTCCTTTCTCCTTTCCTCTCTCTCTCCCTCCCTCCCTCCCCCCACTTCCCCTTCCTGCTTTCACACAGAAGATAGACCATCTGAGAAGGTAGCAAGAAGGCAGCCACCTGCAAGCCAAGTAAAGAGCCCTCACCAGGAACTGAACAGGCTGGCACCTTGATCTGGGACTTCCTAGCTTCCAGAACTGTAAGAAAATAAATTCTTGTTGTTTAAACCATACAGTTTATGGTATTTTGTCATGACAGCCCAAGCTGAACAATATCAGTATCGCTCTTTTATTTACGTCTGCATTAGATAACATGTATCACTTTTATGACACATGACTATGGTGCTAATAGAAGTTTCATTCCTTTGTCCCTAGCTCATGCAAACCAATGTGAGCAATGTTATTTTACAAATAACTTCTATTTCAGTTACTTTCTCTTTCCATAATGACAGTCATTCAGGTCTTAAATCACCATTAGTAACAGATAAAATTAATTGATTTTCTATGGATTTTTGTTTAACAGATGTACAATGGTCCATGCATTTGTAGTTCTAAAAAACACTCTAGGTGATTCTAATCACATTTTTAAAAATGCTGATATAAAGTTATTTACACAATAAATATCATGCATGTTGGGCCTTACTATATGTCTCAA